AGCTGTGGATACTACGAGCCACCAATTCCCCGTCAGCGATAATGTGAAGACACGGAAGGCTTGGTTGTCATTCTTGCTTGGAAACCTAGAACTTTCTGCCCCCCCAAACCATGATGCTGCCCTCTCCCCGCCAGCTGTGAGCCCCTGAGCCCTGCGAGTAGCCCGATCTGACAGGTCCCTGCAGCCTGAGCGCACACACTGCAAGGAGCCTGGCACCGGGGAGGGACAGGGAGGGAGCTGCAGCGACCACCCAGGCACGCGTCCAGCTGGGCGAGAGCGAGCTCTGACACTCTCCTGGGTCTCTCCTCTTCCAGCCCTCCAACGCCCGGCCTGCACACAGCTCTGCTGACTTGGACCCGTTTAAGTTTCGCTGGCTGATCCCCATATCCGCACTTCAAGTCAGACTGGGGAACGCAGCAGGTAACTGTCCTGAAGCACAAATGCCAAAGTTTGGATGTTTTATAGCAGGAGGAGGAGGATGTTTCCTCATAGACTTCTGGAGGAAGGACTGAGGGGTGGCTCTTCCCAGCCAAACACCTTTCTCCACTATGTCCTTATTTCTACTACCAACTCTTCGGAACCTGATAGCCTTGATACACCCAGATGTGTTAAAGGAACAAAGGTCCACCAACCTAAATCTTTCCAAGTTTAGGTACACCAGAGAATTCTTTAAGATGAGGCAGCAGCACAAATGATGTAAAAACAAGAAAAAAGCCTTCCACCTGTGAAACACGGAGAGGCGCTTCCGTGTTCTGCTGACACAGCCCTGGGGTCCGCTGACGCTGCCCCCGGGGGAAAGGGCCGCAGGGCCAGGTGCAGGCCGCTCCCGGGCCCCGAGTGCTGACGCTTCCCAGCACACCACTGAACCCTGGCCAGCCGTTCTCCTCCAGCCTTTCACCCGAGCCCCCCCTCAGTCCTTCCGCAGAACGGCGTGGGGAACAGGACCCGTGTAACCTCTTCCCCAGAGGGAGAGGGAGGAAGCCCTAAAATGGATCGACGGCACCAGCAGGAAATGTGAAAAGTATTTAACTCTTTGTACGTTTTGTGAAAGTCAGACAGAGAGTGAACCACGAGAGCCAGTCGGGAAGAGTTGATGTTAAGACGTGACGACATGATGAGCGTTAGAGCTCACAGATGCTCTGAACAGGCTCTATGGCAGGTGTAGCCTCAACTCTCTCGCCCTTTACCCAGGAACAGAAAACTCTTCCATCTGGGAGCTGATCCACACCAAGTCAGAAACAGAGGGACGGCCGGAAACCGTCTTCCAGCTGTGCTGCAGGTGCGCACCCCCGTCCTCCCCCCACACACACACACTGAGAGCCGCGGGGATGAGATGGAGTGGGGAGCTCTTACAGGGAGGGTTACGTTCAGTGCCTCCTGAATTTTGATGGCTTCAGGATCATAGCCCACACCACACTCCCACAGGATAGCGGTGGCCCCAGTATAGAACACACTGGATGCAAACCTACCCAAACCCGCTCTAGCTGGTTTGGCTCAGTGGACAGAGCATCTGCCTAAGGACCAAAGGGTCCCAGGTTCGTTTCTGGTCAAGGGCACATGCCTTGGTTGCAGGCTTGGGCCCTGGTCTGGGCTCGGGCAGGAAGCAACCAATCGATGTGTTTCTCGCCCATCAGTGCTTCTCTGTCTCTCCCTCTCTCTCCCATCCTCCCTAAAAATCAATGGAAAAGTATCTTTGGGTGAGGGAGGATTAACAAAAAACAAACAAAAAATACCCAAATCCCAGTGCTTCGCGAACGTCGGTGCTCACTCCTTTGTAAGTGAGGAGGCCAAGGCACCAGGAGGTTGGCGAGTGCCGTCGGTCTGTCCTGAGCACAGCAATGTGCCACAGCAGGACGAGGGGACAGGGACGGAAGCGCGATGACACTGGACACCAATGCTCTTTCTTCTCGCCACCCCCACCCTCCAGCGACAGCGAAAGCAAAACCAGCATCGTCAAGGTGATCCGATCCATCCTGAGGGAGAACTTCCGGCGGCACATCAAGAGCGAACTCCCCCTGGAGAAAGCGTGCAAGGACCGCCTGGTGCCCCTCAAGAACCGCGTTCCTGTCTCAGCCAAGTTAGGTGAGAGCTTTGCCAGCCTCCCGTGTGTTCATGAAAACTCCGAGCTTCTCTAAGAGACACGCTCTTGTAACACAGGAGTATGTCATCACTGTAAATTACCAGGGTGCCTGTCAGCCCTAAGCCAGACACCCAAATACATGGGGGGGGAGGGGGGGAGAAAGGAGGTCAGACGGCAATGATAACTTTGTTTCCTCTTCTGAAACCTGAACTTGCCTCTTGCTCCCATACCTCCTTTTATAAAATACTAGTGGCCTGGTGCACGGATTCATGAACACTGAAAGGAAATTAATTAGAAGAAATATTCTAATATCGCTATTTGCCCTGTCTCTAAAATAGAAGTGTTGGAGATGAAAGAAAATCAGTATAATGTATATGAAAATAATATATAAAATGATTAATACATAAACAATAACAACATATACCAGCAAAGACATGATATAAAAACAACATTGATAAAGACAATAACTGATACATTGATTCAACTTAGTCTGATATCTCTCTGTACCACATTAAGAGTAAAAAACACTTTCAGAGTGCTTGACTAACTTCCCTTATGATGAACTATTTACAACTTGAATGTCACATGCTCTTCAAACTTGAGAGAAAGCAACATATAGCTGACCATGTCTGAAAACGGGTTCAGGTAGGAATATTCCCATTCTGCCTAGTTTGTTCTTGTGATTTATTAATAGTCATCGCAAATGCTGGCATCACAGGAAACTGTCTTTGAATTAATTTAAATGGGAGGCCAGTGTCAGACGGGCACAAATCAATTCTTAGAATCAGAACAATCCTCCTGCAGATCCTGTTATACTTCAGCTTTGATTATGGCGCCAGTGAGAGTTTTATATATATATTGCACTTGCAGGAGTCAATGTTTATTTTTAAATTGCCAGTGTGTGTCATTGTACTGGCCAGTTTGTCAGATGGATGGTCACTTCGCCTTTTAGATAGATAGATAGATAGATAGATAGATAGATAGATATAGATAAAACACCCCATCCCCAAACCCCCTCTTACCACCACCGACACGGCTACACTTACCATCTTATCTGCTTCTCCGGGACGTACAGGAGTCCAGGGAGATTTCTGGTGCTCTGAACACTGCAGGCAACTAGAAAGTCAGTACCAAATGCCTTAAGATCAGAAACCTAAATCCTCATTCTCATCCTATTAGAGCAGCAGGTAGAGTTGCCAAATACACCACTCTCAACTTTCTGCCTATTTTTAAAATTTCAGCCAAAGTTTGTGGATATTCTTTTTGTAGTTACTATTTTGTTTTTACCTTTGATCGTGTTTTTTACTCTTATAAAATGTATGTCTTTCTTTTTGGGTCACAGTGTGACTTCTTTAAATTTACAGTATATTTCCCATTTTCTCTCTTACCAAAATCAGCCATAGCCATCAAAAAGATGCTGCTGTCTACAGAAACACAACTAGAGCTCCCTTCTTCCTCCAGCCCCGAGAAATGAAATGCACACACAAATAACTCTTCACATGACATCTCTGAAAGTTGGTTAGAAATTCCAGCAGACAGTTCTCATGAGAGAACACTTGTCTCCTTTTAGTGAAGCAGTAAGGGAAATAAGGTGAGAAGGTAGACAGGAATATGGTGTGGTCTTGGTTATCAAATGACAGGGCAAGGTAGTGAAGAAAAGAAGATTTCTTAACATTTCAGTGTAGCCTCTGGAAAAGTAGGAATCTTAGCCCTTAGTTTGTAGCTTATTTTTTTATCTAAGTAACTGAGCTCTAATAACTGGCCATCCAAAAATACGAAATCCTCCAACGTCAAATTTCGGATAAAATTTCCATACCTGCAGCATCTACGTGGATTTTTGCCCAAGTCCCAGGATGCTCGGTAACTGAAGTGAGATGATAAAATCTCAGTGATTAAGATGTGAAACCGCGTCACTTATACTGCAAACCCACACATCTGGTGCCTGTTTCTCTGTCACAAGGGGTGTGTGCTCTCTCCTCGCAGCTTCGTGCAGGTCCCTGAAAGTCCTCAGGAACTCCTCCAGCAGCGAGTGGCCGGGGGAGCCGGGCAAGGGCAGCTCGCTGGACTCCGACGACTGCAGCCTGAGCAGCAGCACGCAGAGCAGCGGCTGCCAGCCGGCGGGGGGCGGGCAGGACACCCCGAAACACCCCCACACAAGCCTGACGGACTTTCCGGACAGTCTCATCAAAGAGAGTGACATTCTGAGCGACGAGGAGGAAGACTACCAGCAGACCCTGAGGCCGGGCAGCCCCACCAAAGACATAGAAATCCAGTTCCAGAGGCTGAGGATCTCCGAGGACCCGGATGCTTCCCCTGAGGAGCAGCAGCCGGGCCCCGATGGCCGGCCCCCAGGGGAGCAGCCCAAACTGGTCCGGGGACACTTCTGTGCCATCAAACGGAAAGCCAACAGCACCAGAAGGGAGAGGGGAACTCTGCTAAAGGCGCAGACGCGCCACCAGTCCCTCGACAGCCACCCTGAAAGTGCCAACCTTGACCTCAACTCCGTGCTGGAGCGGGAGTTCAGCGTCCAGAGCCTGACGTCGGTGGTCAGCGAGCAGTGCTTCTATGAGACGGAGCGCCCCGGGGACTCCTAGTGCAGCCTCGGGGGGACGCGGACTGACGTGCTCCTGTCGCTTTAAACGAGTGGCCAGGCGGACACTGCAGACAAACCACACTGTCCATCCTTGGGGTTTGTCCAGTATACATTTTCCCACAGAACAGTTGTAAAGATTTAAGTTATTTTAATTTATTGTGGACCAGAAAACTCGATTCAACTGGTCGGAATCTGTAAAATACTTAGTTTATATCCCTTTTTGAGCAGGTGTCAAAATGACTTAGAACTAGAACCCTTAAAACTGCAGTCTAATTATTTTAATTTATGTGGGAAAAGGAGGGGAAGCTGTGATGAATAGCTTTTAAAAAAAAGGTCGTTTTTCTCTATCCTCTGGGCATTTACTTTGAGCTGCATTTGCTTTATTTAAAGCAGATTTAAGTTATTTTAATGTGGGTTAGGGGCACAATGTGCAGAAATTTCATTTCTGTAAGGTTGTAATAATAGAAGCTGTTTATACTAAACATGCCATATCTATGCATATATATATATATATATTAAAAGAAAGCTTGTACTGTAACTTTATTTATTTTTCTCTACCAACCTGTACAGTAAAGGGAAGAAAGTCACGCTGGTAACTGGCATTTCTGTCGTTCTGTAGCAGTCAGAGTGCACGTGAGAGACGCTCGGCCTGGAGGGGAGGGGAGGGGGCACGCTGGGTAAGCCGCTGGCCCCAAAGTGCAGCTACAGGCTCTCCCTGCTGGCCTCTTTGTCCTGGCCGGTCTCTTTGTCCTGGCCGGCACGCTTGTGGTTCCTGAGCTCTTCTCTGAAATTGTAGGCAAAGAGGTGCGGGTCTTCATCACACATCCGCCGGTACACGTCACACAGGCTCTTGAAGTGGGAGACGGAGAGCTGGCAGGGGCGAAAGGTAGGGTCCACATCTGCCAACTGCAGCAGCCGCCCAGTGCGTTCCAGGCGCTGGGCTTCAGGGAATAACATCCTGAGAGAGAGAACCAGGAGTTCACGTGAGCAATGCTGAAATCACAATGCTTCCTTCCCCTCCTCTGACCGTGCCTGTTCTGAGGGGAAGAGGCAGCGGAGCCGGAGCCCAGGAGGGAACCTCAGCTCTGCCCGGGCACAGGACTGCGCGGAGGCAGAGGCAGCCTGACCTGCAAGGCGTGCCCGCCGGCGAACAAGTTCCGAAGCTCCAGCAGTACCTGCATCTCTAAGGTGAGTGCAAAGTAACGTGTGCAGCTGCATTCTTGGAGAGGAATGCAAGTTTCATCTGCCTCATTTGTTAGTATGCAAGCTGGTTACTGTCGTGGGAGACATCATTGGTTTCTATCATTTGAACATAGTTTTTGGGACATTCACCCCAAAAGAATGACCTTTCTTGGCAGAGTTAGAAAACAGTTGATGTGAAAATGCAAATCGTTATGTCCCCTCTTTACGATATGTGGAAGCATCTTTAGAACTGATGTGAGGTGTACAGTTTATATGTCATCCAACCGAGATAGCGGTTTTAAAATGCAGAGCAAAACTGACGCTGACATACTGTGAAGCTTCCCCTGGACTGCACTTTCTTTCCTCAGGTCCGAGGGCTCCGCAGGGCTCATCTCAGAGGGCCTGGGAGAGAGGCCGAGCCTGCAGCGGGTAAGCCCGGCGGGACAAAGGCGCTCTGTGCGAAACAGGAACAGGCCTGCGTGCGTACTTCAGGATACCACTGTGGGAAATGCACACAGAACCACAATGCCGTCTCACAATGGCAGAACGGCTGTTATAAAAAAGTCCAACAACAAGTGTTGGCACGGATGCAGAACAAGGACCGCTCGTGCCGTTTGTAGTGCTGCCGCTGGTGCAGCCACTGTTTGGAAAAAGGTATGGAGGGGCCTCGAAAAATAAAAACAACAACAACTGTTCAAGCAATTCTACTTCTGAGTAATTAGCCAAATAAAACAAAAACTCATTTGAAGAGATATATGCACTCCCAGCGTTATTTACAATAGCCAAGATTTGGAAACAACTCGGGTGTCCACTGATAGGTGAACAGATGAAAAAGGTATGTAATGGAATATTACTCGGCCATAAAAAACAACAACATATTATTTGCACCAGCATGGATGGGCCTAGAGGGTTTTATGCTACGTGAAATAAGAAAAAGACAAATACCATTTGCTATCGCTTATATGTGGAATCTACCAAAACGAACACACAGATAAGCTGGTGGCTGCCAGAGGGGAAGGTGGTGGGAGGATGGATAAAGGTGAAGGAGCATAAGAGGTGCAAAGGTGCAGATATGAAGTAAAGAAGCCACCGGGAAGCAGTGTGCAGCACAGCAAATACCATCTGAGTATAGTGACAGCTCAAACCACTAATTGGACTTCCTGTGGTGATCAGAGTGTGCGATCTGTAACGTCCAGCCAGTATGTTGTACACCTGGAACTAACGTAATGTTGTATGCCAACTATACTTAAAAAAACACCACCACCCACACATTGTGTCAGACATGTTGAGTCAACAGTTCTGGTGGTGTAAGTGCCGATAGAGAAATCATGACCTTCCCAGTACAGGGTCACTGCAAACAGCGTGACTGTCAGTTTTAGATTGTACTTAAGATCCAACCAAACCTAACCCGCCAGTGGCATCTGAGGCTGAGCCACGGTTTGTTTTCTTAGCGGCAAAGCTCTGTGCATCACAGGATCTGAACTGAGAGTACTGTTCACAGCTTGAAGGATTCTAAAAATCCGGTTCTGAATCTCTCTGAACAGTGACTGAGGGCTTTGTAAGGTGTGCTCCTGAAGGAAGAGAAAGGCTCTTACCCCAGCCCGCGATGGCAGTACTTCCTCCGGAACTGAAACACGTTCTGGACGACCTTTTCCACCAGCGGGAAGGGCTGCTGGATCCTGGGCTGCGTCAGGGGCGTGAAGTGCACCACGCCCACGTCCACCTGCAAGGTAAAAAGCAAACACGTCACTCTGCCGCACGCGTGACATTCAAACGACGGAGCTTCGTAAAGTGCAGGAGAAAGGTGTTCATACGTGGACCTGTTTCATCTTCTCTGGCAGGTAGGAGGCTACATTCCCATCGGAGCTGAAATCAGTTGGTTGCATCAGTTCTGTAATGACATCCACTAGACCTGTGCTTGACAACTCCTTAACTTTAAAATGCTCTTCTACAAAGGCCTTTAGGACCAACCAAAATAATCATCCAAGCCAGTGGGCAGATAACAGGCAGCATTACAGGATCTCACTTAGCTCTGAACGAGAAGAAGCTGCAGCAGCAGTTGGGACTGTAAGACTGGGCGGCAAGAGCCAGGGAGAAGGCAGACAGGCCCCAAGGACCACTCAGCATCCAACTCCCCAGAAAGGGGATCGAGAGCTACAGAAAAAACCCTGCAGGCTGGGAGGAAAGAGCCTTTCTGTGGAAGGAAGAGCAGAATCTCGGCTGGGAGAGTGGAAGCAACGGCCCAAGCCACACTGTGACCTGGAAATGTCTCACCCTGCTGACACTCTCCCCTGGGGCAGAGAAGTGAGCCCAGCTGTTTGGGAAGGTTCTAGATCATTCTCTAGACTTGCACGGCTCCATCACTCTAACTCTGCATGTCCCTCTCTGGCACCCCGTCCCTACCTCTCTGCCACCATCTGTGACCCACTCCCGCCCTCCTTCCAATCCAAAGCTTCCTAGTTACACAGCAGGTCCTGACAGGAAACCTAGTCACCAGGTGTCGTCCCACGCCTGCCGGTTTCCAGAGAAAAGACTCTTTTAACAAAACTGGCGATAAGTGTAAGCCTCACCTCACCTACACCACGAACTTAAAACACCAGTGCTCAGATGGTAAGAAGGCCACACACACAAGTACAGGGATGGATGGGACAGATGCGCTCTCCTTCCTGCCAGACCCGCCACTTCCAAGCTCCCGGGGGCTTAAACATCTGGCCTCATCTTTATTTGTCTGGTTTTGTTCCTGAGATACAATTGGAGCTTGCAAATATAGAACATGCTTAACATTTTAAATAAAGTTCTAAAGTCCTGTGCAAATACAGCAAGCACCCCATGTAAACTGGAGCAGACTTCTGAAGTTTGAATTTGGGACCCAATTGAATTTGGCTAACAGTATATTGTAACTTTGGAAAAAAGTCCCTGCATAATCCAATACAGTTACACTTAGTGGGGGGCCCTGTAAGACTCACTGTGCAAAGGGCTCTCCCAGGAACGCGCCCTGCTGCTGTGGGAAATCACCGCCACCCTGGCCACCTTTCTTCTAGCCCCGCCCCCACAGCGAGCCTCAGAATTACTGTGAACGAAGGAGCCCATTTTCTCTGAAACTGCAGGAAAGCCACTTGGTAACTATGGTAACAGATACAAAAATGCTTTTTACTTATAATTGAATTCTTATTAAAAATGACAACTGGGTTTTTTTCTCTTCCTGGATTTTAAGTCTATTAAAGGATTTGATTGCAAAAAGGAAGTCAGTACATAGGGAACAGATGCACTTACACTGAGTGGCCAGATCATTATGATCTCTGAGCGCATAATAATCTGGCCACTCAGTGTAGATCCTATATAATAAAAGGCTAATATGCAAATTGTACCCTTGACCAGGAGTTTGACCAGCAGGCAGGCCAGCCAACCGCCCATGTCCCCTCCCCTTGGCCAGGCTGGCCGGACCCCACCTATGCACGAATTCATGCACAGGGCCTCTATATATTTATATACACACATTGGCCAGATTATTATGCGTTCAGAGGTCAGAGTAATCTGGCCACTCAGTGAATCAATTCCAGTTTAATGTTGCCAGCCCTTTCCCAAACTGTCTCTCAGTGCACCAGTCTAGGTATGGCCTGGTTCCTGACTTACTGAAATTTCAAATTAAGGAATTTATAGTGAATTTAAATACCTGCCTCTCAGATCCACTACAATGGTTCAGTTGACCACCCAGGACTCTGGAGTGGCCCAGGCCAAGAGGAATCAGGCTGGGTACAGAGAGAGGGTCCCAGGGAAGGAGGAAGTGGAGGAGGGACGGTGACGGAGAGTCGGACCCAAACTAGACACATTCAGCCCACAATCTCATATACTGCCAATAAATGACCGTGTTTAAAAAAAAAAAAAAAATGTCCTGCTCTTCAAAATAACATACAAAGAGAATACAATGTTAGGCCAAAACAAACACGTTCTTATGAGATTACATTGATCTGTCAATGTCACCACAGTCCAAAGACAGGCTTATTATTCTAAAACAGTGTATGAAGACTTAGAAAACAAGCCCTCAAATCCTTCTCATGAAGACAAACAGGAGTAACAAAATGTTGTAGAAATAAGGTAATCGATAATAGAGCAAGTGGAAGTACCACCTATCAGCAGAAACCTGTATCGGACTTGCTACAGACATCATCCGGAACTAGATGGCCTCCTTAGACATGTGAGGACACACAAAAACCCACGGATACTCACCTTCATTTTCACTATTATCCACTCATCTACACACAGCCGATTTTAAAAGTTAAGAAGTCTTCACACTGATCTAAGACGTTATATTAAATCTAAAATGACCATAAAGATAGAGGAACCAATGGACTGTGCTCATCGCTGGTAAACATTCCTTAAGGAAATCACTTTACATCTGTGGGACTATAACAGGAAAAATTTAAACTTATTCTGAACTACCGTACTTTCAAGGTTGAACAGGAAGCAATTACACAAAGGACTGGTTGTTTTGAAATCTGAACCCCAACTTCTCACTGGAGTTGAGTGGGCAGTGTTTTAAAGGTACGACTGGGCGTCCTCCCAGGCCAATGGCCTTGGAGCCACGGCCACGGCTGCCTCCAGGCTGTGCCAGAGGCAGCTGAGGCTCCGGTGCGTCAGTTACTGCCCTTCTCCCTCAAAACTCAGTAAGTTACCGATTTGTTCAGAAAGCCAAGCAGAGCTTTTCTAAATATCCAGATTGTCACTAAGAGAAACAAGTACTACAGCAAGCACTTGTGATTTTTTCTTAAAAACAGAAAACCGCTGACATTTTAAAGGAGAAAGGAGACGGCGGCGGCGGCAGCGGCCAGCCCCGCTGCAGTGAACATCCCCTGACCGGCTCTGCTCCACGGCGGGCGCCCCGCGAAGCAGCGCTCATTCTACCAGGACCTGGAAGTGCACGCTCCTCCACATGGAGGTGGGGCAGGGCCACGAGCAGAAGGACTTCCGATTTCACTGTATTCTGGGCCTGACTCCCACTGCCAGGTGTCACCTGCCAGTCACTCGGTTTACCACCTTCGTTGTCACCGAACTTCTCTGGAGCTCACTTTCTCAGCTGTAAAATGAGGACTCTTGTCGCCTCACAGGCTTGTGTTGAAAATCAAATAGCATGGTGCCTCAAGCAGCACCCAGCAGCTAGGAAGCAGCTTATCCGAATGACAGATACTATTATATCAAGATTATCAAACAAAAGAGCTGTAAAGTCACGGAAAGTTAGCCTCCTTTGGAAAGGACAATTACACTTTTGTTCATGCAAAGGTAGTGTACAGCTCAGCGATGTTAATTTACACACTCAAGATCAGCTCTGGAATCTGTCACTTGGTATTTATTAAATTCCTTCTCTAAGCCAGCACCTCCCTGGCCCCAGGTCAACAGCACGGGGGAGGCAGACTCAGACATGGAGTCTCGCCCTGTGGGGTTTCCCTCCAGAGGTCTGCCCATTAGTTGGTTGACTGGCAGCTGGATATGGAAACAAGGATGGTTTTAAGATCCAGGCAGTGCCAAATGGAAGGATGAATTTGCCACTAAGGGACTCGGTCTTATCCGCGGCAGGTCGGAGATGTCACCAGTGATGTCACACCCACCAGAGGATTACCACCAGAGAGGCCGGGAAGAGACAGACACTGAAGACAAGACACACTTGATAGGATTCATCTAGGAAAGCCTCTGGGCTTAAAAGTTTAATTCTGTCCACATTAGAAACAGATAATGACGTCAATGAACTGTATTTCTCCATATACCTCTACTTTCCAGATTCTTTCTTATGTAAGAAATTCTGCCCGATTAAAGGTCGACAGTTAATAAAAGCAATTTTCATCCCAGAAGTTCACCATCTTAAAACAGGCAGTTCATATTGGATAAGTATCAAGGCAGAAGCAGAATCACAATGTTTGAAAACAGTAAGATATGTTAAAGCATGCTTCAGCCATTTATGCCCAGCTGCGACAAGGGCGGGGTCCCTCCCCCTGCCATGGTCAGCCTCAAAACAGGGGGTGCCCCAACAGGGATGGCAGGGAGCCGAACTCGCCAAGGCGCCGACGGGACCGGGCTTTCTGCCGATGCAGCAGGAACAACATGCTGTTCCTGCTAGCAGAATTAGATACCGCTATTTTAAAAACGGTCTTTTTAATGTTTATTTTGAAAGTTACTAATTTTGTGAAACCTGATTTCAGACAAGTCACAAGCACCAGAATAAAAAGATAGTCTCTGCTATCATTTGTAAAGCACAATCTGGTTAAAAATATTCCAGACCATATTCTTTAATATAACTGGGAACATCAAATAACAAACTGTATCTTCCAACATAGACAAAAACTCAGAAATAAATTATAACTCTGGACTAAAACATAGTATTAAGAAAAGTCTTTTTGTGAGCACCCAAATAATTCCTCCTCTGCATCCAGAGACACAAAAGCATTTTCAGCTTTCAGGTTTTGAAAAAACCCTGTTGGCGCCACAGCTCCCTCCCTTCCCCGCCTCTCCTTTCTTATTGCCCACAGCTCAAAAAATGAGAGGAGAACCTGGTATTTATCTCCCGGCACCATCAGCAGTTTTCCCCGCTCAGATTTCTGTGGCTCTTTATTTGCTATTTGCAAGTGAGCCTGCGGGAGCTCTGCCACTAATATTCAGAAGCAGCAAAGCGAGCCTCTTGTAGGTGGTGTCTCTGTCAGACCTCACGGGGGTTCCTTAGAAGACAACGGCCGAAGGGAATTAGGACACCGAAGGCTACGGACAAAAGGTACGGAAAAGGGAAGCTTTTAAAAGCTTAGCGGCCTACAGATAGCTCTTTAAGTACCATTTAGTTTGAATTTTAAGTTGCAAATCTGTTCTTAAATATTACTTTTGATATACGTAAATCTTGTTAAAACTGACTTTACTCTTTAGTAACATCCACTCCAGACATTCTTTCGGCGGATGGTTCAAATAGCACCGCGGTTCTGCTCTGTACGCACTGTGCTTGGAACCATGAGAGCAGTTCCGTCCTTAGAGCTGTCTGCTTACTGGCACAGTATGTCACCACCACCACCACCACCACCACCACCACGGGAACAAAGTGAGCCTTTATTCTCCGCCCCACAGAAACCTGAGCGAACAGGCCACAGACTGCATCGTGCTGTGGCCGGGCAGGAGAGAAACAAACGGTGTGTGGTGCTCCAGCAAAGATGCCAGGAGGCTGTTAAAGCAGCAGCCCAGCGGCCTGCTTTGCGGAGAACACATTCTCTGGCAAACACTCCCAGGCAGAGGGAAGCATTCTGAGCCCAATTCCAAAGGCAGCAGGCGCCGTGCTAACTGCATGCGGCGTCCCGTTGCTGATGCGGAGTCTGCTGTCTGTGACTTATCACAGCCGGTACTTGTTAATGAAGAGGAACAAGCTGTCTGTGAGTCCGGAGGACACTGAGATTCATAAGATGTACTGGCTAATGAGGAAAAAGGGCTATAATTGGGGAGCTGAGCATAAACTGATCACACATACAGGTTACTCAACCGAAGTAAAGAGACAGAAACCAGACGCGCTCTGCGGAATCTCAGCTGACAACGGTCCGGAGAAGGCAGTAATTTTGTGAGCTGGCTGGAGCTCCAAGCCCAAACCTGAAGGCAGCCATTATAAACTGTAAACATGCACTTCGGTTCCACTTTTGTTCTATTTTGGTCTCAGTATGTAAAGAAATAAACTGGCACTCTGATCTCCAGAGTAAAACTGATTCTGAAGAATTCAAAATCTAGGGGAAATTCTCTCCTAAAATTGTACATGTCACATTTAAACATTACAAATAAAAATATATCAATAGGATTCAGCTATCTCTGAACTGAACTTCTTAGAGAATCAATGTTAGAACTACAGAAAAGTCCAGACTTAGTCTCCAAAGCTAAGCCATTTGCCCAATTGATACCTTCTGGAGCCTTTTTTTTTTTTTTTTTTTAATTTTTGGTGGGAAAGGGAGTGAAGCTGATATTGAGAGGTGCACTATGCCTTCAGATGTAGCAGTTTTCCCAGCTTCCCACGGAAAGCACCCCGGGGTGGGTTTCACACCTGGGGTATGGGGGAGTGGGAAAACGTCCAGGCTGAAGGGAGGTGGGAAGAGGGAAGATCTGGATTCTGACCACCTGCTGCTGAGACGTGGGTGGCACTGGGTGATTTACCTCCTAAATAGGCTAATCTGAAAAAAAAAAACAACGATGATGTACAAGATTATATGTACAGTTTCTTTCAGCTCTAAGGTTCTATGCCAGTGAATACAATCAGCTTAAGGGAGATAAGAAATTGCTATGACATAAAATAAATATCATGACATTTATTTGTCAGAGAGAAAAAATAAAAATACTGGTAACACTATCCATTATAATTTATTGTGACTTGCCATGGGGGTAGATATTGCTCATCCTTAAAATGCATGGACATATTTAATCCCATGTCGCAGGTGCTATCGTCCTCCCATTTTCCAGCAGAGGCGACTGAGATCAGAGAGGTTCTGGAAAGCCAAGACCCACACATACTGCCTTTTGTCAAATTTACTGTATGTGACTCATGATAGAACACACTGTTCCAAATGTAACTGCTGTGTTTCAGAAACCATTGCATTTCTCAAGGAAGGCAGTGGTGCTGCCAGATTGAAACAGCCAAGCCACCAAGTGCTAGCTTTTCCCTTGGAGAGAATGAAGTGTTACATTATTTTTGGTATCCTTTCACAGACCAGTACCCATGTGGTTATTTCTGTTGAGTATTTGCGAGACTCGACGCCCCTGCCGGGAACGGTCGAAGAACCGGTTTTGCAGCAGGCTGCTGCATTTGGGTCAGGAAAGGATCCTGGTCCCAACTAGAGCGGGGCTCACGTTCTCCTTGCAGGCACAGTGGCTTAATTGTGCCGGTGGCAGCGTCACCGGCCCGCCGCTGAGTACCTGGTGCCTGAGGTGGAAGAAGTGCCGCCCTCGGTAAGGATTTTGCAAATGTTTATTAACTAGAACTCAGGGGTAATCGTGCAGGTGCCGGACTTATTTCCACGACTTTCCTCTCCTCCTCCCACAGCTCCCCGGGGTCATGTGGAGGTACTTGGTGGGTGCTTAAAAAATACTTGTTTAACAACCACCTTTTGAATACTTAAAACTTTTCTAAAATTATCAATTAATATACATTAAGGGGTTAATTTAAATTATTCTTTTCTATCTTACTATCTATAGGATATTTTAACTTAAGACAAAGTAAGTTTTAAACACCTAAAATGCAATTAAAATTCCTTGCCAGATCTTTTAGCTGGAATGTGGAATACCTACGTCTCGGAACGAGGTGCATGCCCACTTTGCAGATTGAGCACAGCTGGAGTTTTAAAAAGAACCAAGTGGACAGCTCCTTGCTTCCCGCCGTCCACCCAGCACAGCCGCCCGGCCACCCAGGGGGTGGAGCCTCGGAAGGCCCGGTGAGCCTTTCACTGCGCAACCGCCCCACATCCCCTGCGGGGCCTGGCCTCTCTGCTCCCCCGCACACGGAGCCTTTCTCCTCACGCTTTCTCTCCCTCATCCTGATCTGCCTTCTCTCGCCAGCCTTCCGTGCCTGGTCCTCCACTGCGCAGAACAGAACCTTCCGTCCTGACCGAGAGCCGTCCTAATTAAGCCCAGGATTCTGGGTGGACAGCTGACGCTCACGTCATGGCCTCAGTGTGTCTCCAGCTCCTTGCTTTCGTCCTGGCCTTCTGCGGGGTCTCTGGAGTGCTGGCTGCCACCCTGCTGCCCAACTGGATGGTGAACCTGGACACGGGCTCCAGCGTCATCACGGCCATCGTGCAGCTGCAGGGGCTGTGGATGGACTGCACGTGCTACAGCACCGGCATGCTCAGCTGCACCCTCAAGTTCTCCGTCCTGTCCCTGCCCGCCCACGTGCAGGCCGCGCGGGCCGCCATGGTGCTGGCCTGCGTGCTGGCCGCCTCGGGGCTCTGCACCTCCACCGTGGGGCTGCAGTGCATCCGCCTGGGAGGCGGCAGAGAAAGCAAGAGCCACGCTTCCTTTGCCGGAGGCCTCTGCCTGGTGACGGCGGGGATCTCCGGCTTAGTCCCCGCCGTGTGGTACACAAGGGAGATCATCGCCAACTTCCTGGATCTGACCGTTCCGGAGAGCAACAAGCAGGAGCCGGGAGGAGCCGTCTACATCGGCTTCATGGCGGCCTTGCTGCTGCTGGTGTCCGGCACCATTTTCTGCACGTTCGGCCTGAAGAAGGACCCGGAGGCATGGCCCCCGCCGCCCAAGCAGCAGCCCCGCCCCGCCAAGCCGGAGGGCAGCTCCGCTTACCACCTGAAGGACTATGTGTAAAGCCACGTGTCACCACCACACGGAGCTTTTAGGTGCTGCTGGGACATGGTCTCTATTTTAAATTCACACACACACACACACCAAGATCATGCTTAACTTTCTCCACAAAGATTCTAAATACTTGAAAATTGGCAAGATTATTTAGAATGCTAACAAACTCTCATGTACAACTATACCTGTTTTTTAAGGCTGTTCTTCCATCCCTGTTTTCATGGGTTATCTAAAAGTTTATAATTGGGAGAGACTCTGATTATATTAATAAGGCAATATATTGATAGCTTTTCTTCCTTTTTAAGGTAACCTGTTGATACATTTCTTAATTGGTACTTAACTGGGTTTTAGAAAAGAATTAAACTGCCGGGAGAGGCCTGGTGTGAGGTCAGGGCCAGCCTGCGTTTGCAGTCTGGGAGCGGCCACAGGACCTGGCTTCTGGTTCCAGCAGCGCGGCACATTAGGGACAGAAGAGTGTCCACCTCTTTCAGACGTCGCCCAACCAGCCACCCCAACTCCCTCTCTACTGGGAACTCCCTGACCCTTTTTCCATTTTAGAAAAGTGTCTACATACATCTGTGAGGACCGACAAGGTGACGTTTGCAGATGAGGCGGAACTAAAGGAAGGACGCTGGGAGACCACCACAGCGAAGCCACGCCAGACCAGACCCGTCCCCCTGGGGCTTGAGACACGCGGGAAAGCCGCTGATGACCGGGGTTTGTCGGAACAGGCTCCAGGGGCCTCGCCTGCTGCTGGCTAGCGGCTTCTCCAGGTGAAGTCACCAGACACAACCTAGCCCAGCTCCTCTGCTCGCTCACTGGTCAGTATTTGGATGACAAAGCTACTTTTAAGTTGTCATTTCGTTCTCAGCTTGACCACATTAACAAAAACATCTGAGTTAATGGGACGTGCAGGTAATTTTTAAAGTATAAAGAATGCTTTTAAAAGTACAAGTTGAATTATCTTGAGTACTTAAAATATTTTAACAAGAAAATAAAAACTAAACTTTTTGATGTGCAAAAGAAACACCGCAATGGTTGTTCCTTATAACTTGTTAGTTCAAGCTCGGTCACTGCTCACAGGATAATGGTAAATGGGGAAAAGGAACATTTCTTCGCATATAAATAATTCGGGGATGGGAAGGATACCTTTTATGTGAGTAAAGAATGTTCATTTGCTCATACAGAAGTAGAGACTAAATATTTTATGCCTATTTCATTCTGTGGATCATCATTCTCTTCTCCAACAATGTTATCAACTACTAATGGAACACTGAAATGAAAAGGCGCTCTTTCACGTACAGATTAGGAAGGTAATCACTGAGAAAGAAGTTTAAATGACTTTAAAGTATGCATTCCTTCTGAGTAGTCAAGATATTTTCTAAACAAGTGTTTTAAAAATACGTCTAATTAAAAGAAGATTTTAATGCAGATTAATGGGATAGGATTGCTTTGACAACTATATGGTTCTTTCATTTTGCTTAATGTGACTGGCTTTATATGCAGTCTACATACCCAATAGTCCTATACTAAAAGTTTACTTTATATCCTATATAATAAAGAGCTCATTGCTAATTAGACCTAACAGCAGAAGGACTGTCTGGACGACCTTCTGGACAAAGCCGGGTCGGTGAGGGCCAGCCGAAGCTGCCGGGGCCGAGCTCCTTGCATGAATTTCGTGCGCTGGGCCTCTAGTGTTCTATGTAAGTGTATATGTACTTAACAAATAATTTGTATTTATTTTTGGAGTATTTTCTTCCTAAATACATACAGGAGTGTTTTCAACTCTCAGAAAAGCGGCCATTTCATGCAGGTAACATTACCACACTAAGGTCTCTCCAAAAAATGGAAAAAACATTTGTGATAAAGAAGACTGATGTAACTTTAGCTAATATTCTCTAATAGAAATCACACAAAAAATACTGACTTCTTTTTTGAGGATTGGATGACCATATACCTTTATCTTCCATGCTGAAATAATTTAAGGTGTAAAAAAGGATAATAATAATAATACCCCCATGGCCAGGGCAACATGGATAAAAGTGGGCATTTGGTCATTCTAAATAAGGGGAGAGAAATTAGAGTAAAAATTGTGATTTTTATGGTTCTGATTCAGGAAGGTATAGGAAAACTCCGGTACAGTTTGCATATAAGATTAGATCCCAGAGGTCATTTCCCAGGACACATCCTCAGGAGAGCAATGACTACAACTCAATCCTAGTTCTGGCGCAGTAAACACATCGCCAGGAACTCACCTCGGGCTTGGGGACAAAAGCCCGGCCTGGGATGGTGAAGACGTGCTGCACGCGGCAGAGGTACTGGGCCATCACGGACAGGCGGCTGCGCTGCTTGCTCCCCGTGCTGGCAGCAAGTCTCTGGGAAAGGCAAAAAGGAACTTCAGCAAATAACTCACCCAGTCTGGTCATCATCAGAGCATCAACACTGACAGAAAATATAAGAGTCACTCAAATGACTGTGAACTATGCTCAGCCATACAGCAAATCAGGAACAAGCACAGGAAAGCTGCAATGAGACAAAATTTCATTTCCACAAGATGAGCAAAATTCAAATGGCACAAAAGAGAACCTGGGCGAATTGAGTGCTGGTGAGGATTTGGAGCAACCGGAACTCAGTGCGTGTGGGAGGGGAATCGGTGCCAGCACTTTGGACCATAACTCAGTAATATACACATTAAAGCTGAAGTCAAGTCAACTCCCATGATCCTTCAGGTTCACCGTTAGGACTTTATCCTAGAGAGCGGTTTATACAATTACTCAAGGAGATGTGTGTAAGAATGAATGTTCGCTGCAGCATTAGAGGTAATATTAAAACAGTGGAAAGCGAAGGGCCAGCACGGGTGACTGCATAAGTAAACTGTGGTAATTCGACAACGGCAAACTATCAATAACAGTTAAAGTGCACAGCAATGATTACCAAGACAGATCCCCAAATAGAGTAAAAACGAATTAAGTCCAGGAAATATGTATGACTTTATTTATATAAAAACTTCAAAAGATTACTTCTCAGTGTGTGTGTGTGTCTTTATCTGCAGTGCAAGAAAAAAACATACACAGGGATGATGAATAGAAATTTTAACGAAGTACATCATGGAGGGAAAGAAAGGGAATAGAAGAAGGCTCTAAACATATCTACATTAATTTCTTAGGGAAAAAAAAAAGGAAAAATGGACATATGTTAAGACTGGACAATGCTGAGCCTTGGGGAAAAAAAACATATTAGGCATAGCCCTGGCCAGGCGGCTCAGTTGTTGAAGTGCCATCCTGTGCACTGAAGGGCTACGTGTTCGAGCCCAGTCAGGACACATACCGAGATTGTGGATTCCATCCCCAGTTGAGGAGCCTTTGGGAGGCAACTGATTGATGTTTGTCTCTCACATCAATGGTTCTCTCTCTCCCTCCCTCCTTCCTCTCTCTAAAATTAATACGAACATGTCTTTGGGTGAGGGTTAAAAAATAAACTTCTCTTCCTAAAGCGTATCCTGCTTCTCCAGGCTCTGAGAGGTCATTGACATTGCACAGCAATCTGAGACACAGGGTCACGGACCGAGTAGTCCCTATGGGCTAAGTCAGCGGTCGGCAAACCGTGGCTCGCGAGCCACATGCGGCTCTTTGGCCCCTTGAGTGTGGCTCTTCCACAAAATACCACGGCCTGGGCGAGTCTATTTTGAAGAAGTGGCGTTAGAAGAAGTTTTAAAAATGTGGCTCTCCAAAGAAATTTCAATCGTTGTCCTGTGGATATTTGGCTCTGTTGACTAATGAGTTTGCCGACCACCGGGCTAAGCTGACTGTAGACTTTGTAGCATCTGTTTCACTATTCAGAAGCCACCGCTCATCTCATCCCTTATTTTACAATGTCTGGCTCTTGTCTGTGTTTAGACAGTTGGAATTACTGGGAAGTTGAGTTTATGGCAAGTGATGACATGCTACAGTGTATCTGACAAAATAAACTCTTCCTGACTAAAATGTGAAACCAAAGAGTATACATATATTCTCAATATAAAAAATATAGAGACAAAAAAATGGAAGTACAGATTTAAGTTAAAAACTAAGCTCAGCCCTGACCAGTTTGGCTCAGTGGATACAGCGTTGGCCTGAGGACTCAGGGGTCCCAGGTTGATTCCGGTCAAGGGCATGTACCTTGGTTGCGGGCACATGCCCAGTTGGGAGTGTGCAGGAGGCAGCTGATCGATGTTTCTCTCCCATTGATGTTTCTAACTCTCTATCCCTCTCCCTTCCTCTCTGTAAAATAAAAAAAAAAACTAAGCTCAAAAGGCCAGAAAAAAAAAATAGTGCTTAATTTTACCCCTGGTAAAAAATTAACTGAAAACGCACTGTGCAAACTGGCACAATTCAAAGCAGTTATATAAAACCAAAAGCTACCATGAACATCATCACAAAATTAGAATATAAGCCAAAAGAAATACTGAGGTTTTAAAAAGTATTATTTCATCCTGGATTTTCTTCCAATGTCACTTTACATCTGAAATGTATGTTTCCACAGATGAACTCAGAATTTAAAAATCACTTTAACCAAAAAGCAAACCAGTGAGGCACAGAGGGTGAGCTAACTAGATGCGGAGACACATCTGGGCCTGCTTCTCTTAGAAGGCAGTGTGTCCTCTCCCGCTGTCCTGACCTCGCAGCCAATACAGCCAGGGTGTGGGGACGAAACCTTGTGAACCATATGGCTCAATTTAGAAGAAAGCAGCACACGTACAGGAAAAATTAAACCTACGGACCAAAGAGCTGGGCAAAGGGCTTCTTTAAAAGCTAGCATGAGAGTTAAATGGCCAATCAGCTGCTGGTGTGGTGTATATATTACTGGCAAAGCTATGAAAGCCCCAGCTCCATTAGAAGGCAGATGACTGCAACAGCAAAAGGCCAGGAAACCAAACCAGCTAATTTTTCACTAAAAGAAAATAGCTAACCTTTGAGCTTTTAAAAGCATTCCGAGTCTAAGGGGGAAAAGGCGGGTCAAAGAATTTGCAAGGGCGCTATTACTTTTTCCCCTTACTCATCTAAAAAAATGTTAAGTACAAGGAGAAAGAATTGGCTCATAGTTGAGAAGTGAAACCACCACACATCAGGGCAGAGAGGAGGATGTAATGAATGAAGAGGTGGCTCCCTCCTGCTGGGGATGTGACCATTAACCAGCCAGGGTCCTGGTGATGGGAGGAGAGAAGAGGCTGATGCTGGACCCGGAAGGAAAAGACCAGAGGTCCAGCCATGGGGAGAAGCTGAACATCATGGCTCCAGCAGGACACGTGACCTGTGTTCAAGTTCAGCTTTCCCTGTGATGGGCTCACGGCCTTTCGGAAACCATTCAATTACTTGCAGCTTCGGTTTCATCGTCTATAACCGAAACACGAGGTTAGGTGAGATCTGTTAAGGTATCATTTATTGCAACCGAGTCTGATTCTAAACGCGCCTTAATGTGTGGGGGCTGAATCCATACATTCAGGCCTTGCAGTCATACAGAGAAAGAAGAGGACCAGGCTCATTTGTTTGGTAACTCACAAAGCCAAGCCAAGCAAGTGTTCAGAAGTGCTTTCTGTGGGTAAAATACACATTTTCAAATATGACTGTCAAGAGCGAAGAGAGGATATATAAGAAAAGGGTGCTATTATATTCTCCCACGGAAACTCCGGTATGCAAAATGTCAGTCAGAAGACCAGTGTTTCCCGTACTTCTAAAGCATTTCTTAAATTACAGACCCACTATAAACGCTTTTCAATATTCACACTACAATTCAACCAAAATCAACTTTCTTTGTTAAGAAAATAATGGCATGTGAAGTTGGAGCAGCACTGTTATAAACAACCACAACTGATAACCAGTCACTGAAAACTTCACTGCCCCTCTTATGCCTCCGTTCCTTGCTCTTTCTCCCCAAAGAATCAGAGTACACAGTATTTTGCATCTCTATTGTTATTCAAGAGCAGAAATATCATCATAATTATGTCAGCTGAGAAAAAACATCCAAGGACAAATCCAAAGGGTGAGAAAACCAACACAGAAAATTGTTAGCATGGCCTCAATCCAGACCAGCAGAAGAGACTTCACAGATTCACGAGCAGGGAAGCGATAAAGACCTGGGGAGAGTGGGCAGGGCACCTTGGAGCTCCTATCAAACTCGCACGGGTCTTATTACATTTTTGTGATGGATTTTATGGCCAAATACTCTAAGGCCATGGTCGGCAAACTGTGGCTATCGAGCCACATGCGGCTCTCTGGCCCCTTGAGTGTGGCTCTTCCACAAAATACCACAGCCTGGGCGGGTCTAGTTGAAGAAGTGGCATTAGATGAAGTTTAAAAAAATGTGACTCTCAAAAGAAATCGTTGTGCTGTTGATATTTGGCTCTGCTGACTAATGAGTTTGCCGACCGCTGGGCTAAGGCAAAGTCTCTCGGTCTGGGCCATTCTCAGGCTGCAGCACGGGGAGCAGGAGCCCGGAGATCTCCTTGACTTGAGCAGACAGCCCGGAGGTCAGGGAGGCCTAGCAGCCAGCACTCTGGGGCAGACACTGGAGCGGGGACACACACACACACACACACACACACAGGGTGGGGAGTGGGAGAGAGAGAGGAAGTGAGGGAGAGCCCCTGAGACAATGCTCTTTAAGTCTTGGGCGGAGCACAGATTTGCGTGTCTGAGGTTAACTAACTCCTCCAGGCTTGGCAGGCTGGAGAAAATACTGGGAAAGCAGGACGAAAGGAATTCACAAAGAACTGGAAAGAGTTTGCATCCCCAACAGCGGAAGTGAACACACAGGGCACTGGGCAGACTTCTCAGAAAGGTCCTGACTTGGTAGTGCACTTAGCCTCAGGTGAATCGCTGCTGTGTGGTGAAGTTGAAGACACAGCAATTGGAACTATTTTTTTTCGTATGGCAAATTACTAATTCTTTTCATAAGAGTTAACCAAATATGCATGCATTTGCTAAATGATGTCTCTCTCTGCTGATTTATAATCTCATTGTTATCCTACAGGAAGCTGCCTGGTTCCGGGCCCTCTAACCTCCCGCGGTCTGTCACGCTGTGTCCCGGTGCTTTGCTTAGAGCCTCACAGGCATTTTTTTTTTTCTTTTTCTCCTCACAGGCAGTGTGACACTTGATAGGCAAGTCTCTCAGCACTCTTCTTTTCCAAAACGTCTTACCATTCCTACAGGTCAACTTCTCCACGGGATCCCTGGAACTTAAGTACGTTTTGAGATGTTATATAAACAATATATTTCTAAATAGGTAATGTTTTTTACTTCTCTTTCCAATAATGATATATTTTATTTGCTTCGATCCCTACTGTATTTAGTGTCTTGTTTATTCATCACTAATTCAATCCTAAAGTCTTCCCAATGCTCATTACATGCAAACATGATAGGTATTTTTATGAAATTTCTGATCTGCCGTGATGTGGACTGAAGATCCCCTCCTCTCTAGTATTGGACCTTCAGTTCCCAGATTTCACACCACCTTTCTTCTGTGGCTCCATCAGACCCGTGCTCGCACAGGCTGTGTCATTATGCCGCAGGATGCTAAGATCAGTGAGAGGTGACTTTCCAGTAAACCGTGCTAGATTCACTGGCTCATGGGTAACTGTACTAATCTTGCTTTCCACTTCAACCATCCACAACCATCAAACCAAGTGGATTACAGACATACATTTAAAGGTAAAAGAATAAAGCTTGTAGTAGACAAATGTCTTCATGACCTCAGGCTATAAAAGTTTCTTCAACAAGACATAAACAGCACTAACCATCAATTTAAAGTTATGAACATCAGCCCTTCAAGACACTGTAAAAAGAAAATAATAACATGCCACAATAGAAGATATGCAACACATTTAACTAATAAAGGACGAGTAAGGGGAATATGTCAGACTCCTCCAAATCAACAAGAAAAAGACAAGCAACTGACAGAAAACTCAGTAAAAGGCACATACTTCACAAAAAAGAGCTTACCCAAAAGGCCAATAAACATGTAAATCATTAAAAACCAGCAAAGACAGAATAAACCACAATGGCACACCATTCCCCCAAATTGACCAAAAAAAGGGCAAATTAGGCAAAAGCACGTACTGGCAAGGATATATTATAGAATAAAATGAACTGCTGGGAATACAAACAGGCTCAATGACTTTTGAGAACAATTTAGCATTAACTAGCAAAGGCGAGAATTTGCAGACCTTCCAATCTAGCACTTCCATGTGCTATGGGCTCTGCCTGACATGTACACTGTATGTATATAGGAATGTTCATGACAGTTTTGCTCGTAATAACAAAATACTGAAACTATACAGGGTCTCCAAACAGGAGAATGGGCACGCAAATTATGACACAGGCAATGAGTGAGTAGTGTATATTATACTATATAATAGCAATATGAACGAGTCAGGATAAAGAGGATACAGGAGATAAACTTGCAGAGAATAATAAATTCCAAATTCATAGTATTGACTTCCTTTGCAGTAGGTGAAAGATAGGAGATAAAATCAGAATGAGGCATCCAAGAGTGTCAAAGATGTTGGCAATTTAATGATTAAGTTGACTTGGGCGATGGGGACTCGGTATTCTTTTTGTTAAGCCATACACATTACATGGTTTAACATGTATTTGTATGTTAAGTACTCTTGTATTTATGTCAGAACACAGCTTTGTAAAAACACTGATAGTCTGCAGATCCCCTCACCTACCCTGTAGGCTAACTTTCTGGAGAGTGAACCTGGAACACAACTGCTGTGGGCACGCAGGCATGGCCAAGGTGGGGGGTTAAAAGAAAGTCTGCCTACTGAGTAGTGAGCCGCAGGCCCTCTCCCCTTTCTCAGCTCCGAGCTGATGATACATTCTTTAGCTGCCATTCCACGAAGGTCAACAAGTCAGTGATAGCACGTCACATGCCAATCCCTCTGTGCTAGTGCATCACCACGTCGCCCAGGTTCTGCCTTTCCTTAGCTGAGCAGGGCCAGTTCCTGCATCCACCACATGGCCTCTTAGCGGGCAGCATGGCACTCCTACTCTGCACGAGCGCTGACAGCAGTGGCATCTGCCGCCGCCACCACATGCTTAACTTTTGGTTGCGCTGTTGTTGGGTTTCTGTGTGTGTGTGTGTAATGGAGTATCAGCTTTAGAGAACACAGCCTGGCACACAAATGCAGTACTAATGCAGTACTAGCTGGTCTTGGAATTCGACCGTGTGGTAAAATAGCCAGAAAAAAATGAAAACTCACCTCCGCCACTTCCTTTTGGAACGTCAGCGTCATCTGGGTTCTGCCATAAGCAAAAGGCCCATCGCGCTGAGAAACATTTTCAAGCCACTTGATTATGAGTGGAGTTGACACATTGAAAGGCAGATTTCCAATGATATGTACATTTGGAGGATCTGGTTGGCAGGAGAAAAACCAACTTGAAATGATTTCATCAATATGGTTTGAATATAATTTTAATTAAGCGTAAACATCAAGCTAAATACATAGCATCAAATAAAAATATATGAAAAACTATGGTTGCATATTTTACACACCATTTATTCTTCAAAAGCAATGTTGTTGTTGTTTTTTCACAATCAGCTTTGAATTATTAAGGGGAAAAACTTCTACCTAATTAGCATTCAGTCAGTGAAGTCCTCAGATTTTTGGCTTAGGAAAAAGATACACTAAGAACTGCTTTGAGGAAAGAGAATGTGCTTTGGACATGAAGAGGTCAAGGCTCCCAGAGGAACGTGCAGAGGGTCGGACGCCCGGGAAGCGGACACAGCCTGCGAGTGCCTGTGACATGCAGGTGTAATCCAGGGAGGGGAACCCAGACAGATCTGTAGCAGAAGACACCCGAGGGAGAGCTCAGAAACAGGTGAGAGGTGGGTGAAAAATAACCACCAGCAAAGGAGAGCTAGAGACAGCTCACAGCGACGTGAAAGGAAAATCGGGGGGATGGCATCAGGGAAGGCAGGAGCAGCCACCTTCCCAAAAAGAGTGGCTAACGGTCGGAGGAACCGGGAGAACTGGCATGGGCTGGGGACCACGGCAGGTCACTGCGGTGGGCAGGGCAGGCGGGTGCTGACAAGAGCATGGGGTGTCGGGAGGCGGAGGGGCCAGCACCAACCATCGCGGGAGCCTGCCGTGGAGCCAGACACACGGTGGCAGACAGACGGGGTGCACCAACATGGCCCCTCCATCTGTTCTACAGGGTTTTAAAGGCAAGAACCAGAAGCGCTGAAACAGAGGTTCTCAATATATTGTCTGTGGACGAAGAGGGCTGTGGCTGGTCACAGCATGTGAACACAGTGGGAACAAAGGTAAAAGGAAGGTTGGGTGTGACTTGGTTCACTAACACCCTTTCTGTTTTACCATTTGGAAAAAGCAACACCGTATAGCTCACCTGATGTGCTAGCATAAATATGACAAGTGTATCTGAGTAGAACCCAAAATATTTGAAAAATGGGACAAATAAATTAGAAATAAGAAAGAGTAATAGATTTTGTATTTTGAAAGAAAATAGAAAAGCAGAATAAAACTACAATACATATTACCTATTAATTGTGTTTGGATAATTTTTAATGTAAGTATATAATAACATCTGTAATATATAATAAAGTAAGTATTTCTACTATAAATAACAACAACAACAAAAATTCTCTTACCAGCAAAGTCACTTACCATCCTCCCACTGTCGTTTAAGACTTTCTGGAAAAGCCCTTTCGACCTTAAATGTCAACACGTCGCCATGGACAATCCTCAGTTTCCCCGGTGCTGCGTCAGAGAGCATCTAGTTTAGAAAGGCCAATACCATGAGCTCATACACTTTGTCAAATACTGAAACTAATGCTTTTACTTCAAATCTATGCATTATTAAATCAATCTGAAAAGCCAGAGACTAATCATGACTGTTAATGAACTCAAGTTCACAGTATCAACCGCAAGAGACTACAGTGGCATTTCACTTTTAACATATGAATGACTGGACAGCAACAGATAAAAGTATAAAAATAGCTTACTATTCAACACAGGATATATTAACAATTTTGACCCTCAGAATGACTTGTATTTCTGAATAGATTTAGCAAAAACTCAACTCCTATCTTTAAGTTTTTAAATTAGAAAGCATTTGTAATATATATATATATATATATATATATATATATATATATATATATTTATTTATTTAAATCTTTATTGTTGGAAGTATTACATATGTTCCTTTTATTCCCCCCACTGACCTCCTCTAGCCCACACCTACCCCTCACCCCAGGTCTGTGTCCATGGGTTATGCATAATGCATCCAAGTTCTTTGGTTAATCTCTTTCCACTCACACACCCTGACTTCCCTCTGAAATTCCAGTCTGTTCCTTGCTTCTCTGTCTCTGGGTCTATTTTGTTCATCAGTTTATTTTGTTCACTAGATTCCACATATGAGTGAGATCATGTGATACTTGCCTTTCTCTAACTGGCTTATTTCACTTAGCATAATACTCCCCAGGTCCCTCCATGCTGTTGCAAATGGTAAGAATTCTTTCCTTTTTCTTTTTTTTTTTTTTACAGCTGCATAGTATTCCATTGTATAAATGTACCATAGCTTTTTAATCCACTCATCTGCTCATGGACACTTGGGCTATTTCCAGATCTTAGCTGTTGTAAATTGTGCTGCTATGAACAAAGGGGGTGTATATATCCTTTCTGATCGGTGTTTCTGATTTCTTAGGATATATTTGTAAAAGTGAGGTCACTGGGTCAAATGGGAGTTCCATTCTTAATTTTTTTGAGGAAACTATATACCGTTTTCCACAGTGGCTACACCAGTCTGCATTCCCACCAGCAGCGTACAAAACATACTTGCCAACACTTGTTGTTTGTTGAGATAGCCATTCTGACAGTTGTGAAATGGTACATTGTTGTCATTTTGATGTGCATCTCTCAGATAATCAGTGACTTAAAGCATTTTTTCATATGTCTCTTGGCTTTCTGTACGTCCGTTTTGGAAAAGTGTCTAATTAGGTCCTTTACCCAATTTTTTATTGGATTGCTTGTCTTTCTTTTGTTAAGTTGTATGAGTTCCCTATAAATTTTGGAGGTTAAACCCTTATCGATGTATCATTGGCAAATATGTTCTCCCATGCAGTGGGCTCTCTTGTCATTTGTTGATGGTTTCTTTTGCTGTGCAGAAGCTTTTTGTTTTGATGTAGTCCCATTTGCTTACTTTCTCCTTAGTTTCCTTTGACCTAGTATATTGGTAAACCTCTGCTATGAGAGATGTCTGAGATTTTGCTGCCTGTGGTTTCTTCTAAGATTTCTAACATTTTACGACTTACATTTAAGTATTTTATCCATTTTGAGTTTATTCTTATGTATGGTGTAAATTAGCGGTATGGTTTCATTTTTTTATATGTACCTGTCCAATATTTCCAACACCATTTACTGAAAAGACTGTCTTTACTCCATTGTGTGCTCTTGCCTCCTTTGCCAAATATTAAGTAAGCATAATGGCTTGAGTAGATTTCTGGGTTCTCTGTCTGTTCCATTGATCTATATCCCTGTTCGTATGCCAGTACTAGGCTGTTTTAAGAACATTGGCTTTGTAGTATAACTCGATATCCGATACTGTGATTCCTCTTTGTTTTTCTTTGTCAAGATTGCTGCGGTCACTCAGGGTCTTTGTGATTCCATATAAATTTTTGGAATGTTTGTTCTAGTTCTGTGAAATATGATGTTGGTATTTTAATAAGGATTGCAATGAATCTGTAAATTGCTTTGGGTAGTATAGACATTTTAGTGCTGTTGATTCTACCAATCCATGAATACGGTATATTCTTCAATAATAAAGATAAAAGAAAGAAAGACTCTCACAGTACTACAATGTTGGTACTTAGCTAAAAAGAGCCTTACAGCTAAGCCATCTATAAGTTCGAATCATGTTAGGTGCCTCTGTATCCAACACAAAATTTGATTCTTTTTAAAATTTATTTTCATTTTATTCATTTTTTAAAAATTTATTGATTGATTAAGTTATGTGTCCTTATCCCCCCACTACCCCTACCCCTACCCTTAAACTTGAGTCTTAAAGTCCTTGGTAAGTAAAACCAGATGCAGCCCCTGAGCTTATGAAATTTAGAATGCAGAATATAGTCAATGAGCACAAACATCGCTCAAGTAGATTACAAAGGAAGAGGCGACCCCCTTCCACATTAGGTCTCAGCCCAGGGAGCTCAGAGGACCTCAGCTCCAGTTCAGGGAACTGTGGCCTTGAGCACCCCATGGTCTTGCAAAGCTCAATCCAAGCTCATTTCCTCTCCTAACTCTCTCCTTGCCTAACCCAGGCAACTGACAAGAAGGATGAAAGCAGCGTCACAGAAGGCACAGACCTCCTCTGGGCCAACACTGAGCCTGGCACATGCCTCTGTAGCTTATAGCACCCTACATCCCAATTAGGTGTCTGCAGGTTCTTCCTCCACTCCATAAGGGCAGCACCTGTTCTTTTCTTTTTCTTTTCTTTTTATTTTTATTGACTTCAGAGAGGAAGCGACAGAGAGAGATAGAAATGTCAATGATGACAGAGAATCACTGATCGGCTGCCTCCTGCACGCCCCCTAGTAGGGATCACGTGCCCTTGACTGGAATGGAGCCTGGGAACCTTCACCCCTAAGGCCGTGCTCCATCCACTGAGCCAAACCAGCCAGGGCGCACCTGTTTCTTACCTTCCTCCAGGTCCCCTGCGGCTATACCAGTACAGAGTGAGTACTTCTCCAGGTAAGTGCTAAGTGGATGAGCAGATGGCATTCAGTTTTTTGTGACACTGGAAACTTCCTTGCCTAGCCTGTGAGGTTTGGGGTTCCATAAAGTTGTAAGGTCAGTTAGCTGTCAAAGACTTATTTCACTGATAACAGGCAGAATTACACAAGTAAAATGTTCCAGAAATATAGAGTTGAATTGTCTATATTGGTAAGAAGCTAAACATTTAAAGTTTGGGAATCAACTAGTTTAATATATTTAGCCATGGCACTTGAGCAAAAATGATTGTGCACCTCTGATATTAAAATATATATGGATTATTTTAAGTCACCACAATTTGTTAAAATTTAATTTGATGATTTCCAGACATGAAATCTTAGAAAACCTAATAACCTCAATCTATTATAAACAAAAAAGGAGATAGTTCTCTATGGAACAGGGTCTTACTGTACAAAAACTGTGTAGTTAATGACAGCATTTACTATCAATGAAGAACATTAGAATTTTTCTGTAATTATGTATCACATAATTAAAACAAAACAAATTAGCATACCAAAAAACAAAGAGGCAGAACTAAAAGCCTATGTTTCACAATGTCAATATATAGAAAGTAATTAAGTAAGTAGTAATTAAGACTCAGACAAAACAAAACAATGCAAACTAGGCTCCTTGGCATTAATTTACATGCTCTGATAACCATGCTTGAGATGTTAATTTTCCACATTGACACACCAAGCTGCAAGTCAGGAAGGCGATATAACACATTTACCTTCCTGTCCTAGTTCAATGTTACCTTCTGTTATGTATGTTTTAATTCCCCTTCAGGCCGAAGTCTCCCTCAATGACACACCAAACCTCCCGTTCTTTACAAGGTCTACCTCTCCCACGACAACTTAGTAACCCCACCTTCCTCTTTCTCACTTCCTACTGCAGAAGGGATGAATGCTGGCGTTCACAGCTTTATGGCCAACATAATGAATTACAGAATTCTGACTCTCTAGGGAAGTGATTATACCAAGTCTCTAGAGAGAAAATGGTTTTCCTGGCGGTAGCTTCTGTAAAGGGTAGATGGCACCACATAATGGAGCGTGCCTTTACTGAAAGGAGGAGACAAAGGCAGAAGAACCCGCAGGTGGTCACTAAAAACCTCCCCTCTAACCGTCCAGGTCCTGGTGCACATGTCCCGCAGGGAGCAACAATGGCCCTCCGAGGTACTTCGTTGGTGACCTAATTTGATGATGAAAGAATTTATGTAATTCTTGGAACTTATGTACAATGATAAATCCCTTGAGAATATAACACTGTATCAAATAGCCATCTTGCACATTTTATGCCACCTTCTCTTGGTGAGGGGCCTACGGCAGCCAACACTGTACAGTGGGCTAAGCACAGGCCACACAGCTCAGGACCAGGGCCTTCCTCCTGGCACAGTAAGCATCCCCATGCTGCTGAGATAAAGGCTGGGCTAACTGTTAGGTAAACTATACGAGAATTAAAAAAACTATAACAGAGGATATGACAGGAGAAAATACAAATTTATTCTTATATAGAATACACAGGAAAGACAAATGCCATTTAAAAAAAAATTCAAGACGTTACACTAGATTTTTTGAGGGGGAAGAGTACAGCATTTCCAAAGGTCAGCTTGCTTTGCGTTTTAAACAGGACCAGAACATGTGTGGCAGAAACTCATTTACTCAGCCTCATGGAGGAATTAGATGTTTGACTTAGTACATTTTCTATTCAGTGAACGTTTACTCCTTTAAGTGTTAGTGTTTCTTAAAAAGACGTATACGGAAATCTGTATCAACTATATTGCTCAATTCTCTTCTTTAAGCCAAGTACAGTGAACCCAGTTTCACCCTCTTCTTGATGGCTTCTTCATTTCTGCCTGCAGAGTAATGGCCTCAATGGTTATGACCCTTACGACTGTGCTTCCCCCATCCACCCCCCCCGTTTTTATATTTGCTTTTTATAGCTGTTCTGCCGCAGGAATAACTTTACTTCTCGCTGTTGTCAGAGGGTCTGCTCTGAGCACTGCTCTCTACACCTTTAACCTGAGGCGCAGTGGGCCAGAAAATCACTCTGCTGTAAGCCATCTTTTGTTTACCTGTTGTTTTGTCTATGTGATGATTAGCATGATTTTAACTACATCAAGTAAGTTATATGTGTAAATTACATAATCATCTCATAGCAGAAAGTCAAGCAGTCTTCCCTTTTAACAGTTTGCTAGAGATGAAAGAATTTCAAAATTTTATCATCTCTGATTAAAAACAGCTCCTTCTGCCAGGATGACTATATTATATTTTATGTCCCTTTATAAGACCATGAGAAGGGGAGTAATTATAACAGCAACCACTGATTGGCTACTGCAATATATACCAGGCTCTTTACATACATTCCTGTTTATCCTTGCAATAACTACCAGAGGTAACTATTATTCCCAGATGGAAAAGCTGAAGCTCAAAAAGGTTCAACAATAAGCTCAAGGTCACAAAGCGAGTGGTGTACCTGAGGTTTGAGTCTCCATTCTGTGAACTTCCTACTTTGTCTATCAGGTAGAAATAATCACTCTGTTTACCTGTTTATAAAACCCAGAGACAATACTAACAATAATCACTGCCTTCCCATTTCCAAAATTCCACAAAATAAGCATCTAACTTAAAGGTTAAGAAGAATCCTAGAACTTCTAACTCTGGACAAGATGGACTGTAAGGGACCAGATATATTCTTTTTCCTTAAATAAACAATGGACAAAACAGTCGAAACAACAATACACAGATACTGGACATCAGAGAGCACAGGAAAGCCTGCAGATCCAAGAAGCTCAATGAACCCCATGAACAAGAAACATGAAGAAAATGACACCAAGGCACATCATGAGGAAACTGCTCAAAACAGCGATAGAGAAAAATATAAAGGCCAGAGGAAAAAAGACAGAGGAGCAAAGAGGAAGATGACAGATTCCTTGTTAGAAGCAACATATGAAGTCAGCAGCACAAAACCTTCAGAGTAGTGATAGGACGTGCCAGGATGTTTTCCAAAAAATGAAGACAAAACAAAATATGTTTCAGACATATAAAATGCCGAAAGTTACATGACAAACATTCACGCTGTTATGAAATGCTAAAGAAAACCTTTCAGGTAATAGGAAAATGATACTAGATGGAAATACACACAAAATAGTAATCTCTTTAACAGAGAATTGACTTTGAAAAGTCACATTGTATGGTGAACTGTGTACCATACGGGGAAGTAGGACAATGAGCAGACGAAGGAGAGAAGTAGACTACTGCAGGATTGTATGGTAACATTTGAAGATACTCCGGGCTATGTGAAGACGCATGCCACACACCTCCCATAAGCCGCTGAAACACCAAACAAAGCGCTACAGCTATATGATAGACAACCTGGAAGGAAACGCAGGAGAAATTCTAAGCCCCACGGTTTCCACAGCACTGAGGATTTTTTAGTTCAAATAATGACGTTACTTTTCTCCTATACCTCTTTCCAGGCCAGCACCTCCTGATCAATCCTTAATTAAAAGGGGAGTATAAAGCATGGGGTTAATAATTTAACTGATTAATTATATAAAAATCTGCACTAAATTTACTAAGTAGGAAGTATTCATTCAATTCTCATAACAATCCTATAGGCAAGATGACAGAGAGATGGGTACCCACCAAGGTCACGGAACTGGTAAATGGTAGAGCCTGAAGTTGAACCCAGAGAGTCTGACCACAGAACTGTACTATGATGCTTTCACGGGTTAGAGATGTTTCCTCCTCTACAACATGCCGATATTGAGACCTTTTGTACATAACCACCATGTTCTTTCCTCTAAGCTGCCTCTGATAATATAATATAAGAACTGAATTAAGCTACAAATGACATACACTTCTAACTATAAGACATTTTATAAATTATTACAATTTCTTTAAAAAGTAATTCTATTAGCTTAGAAGTCACTAAAATGGAATCCTTAAAATAGATCGCTCTCCTCCTGCCTATACTCGGTTTTATGATTAATTTAGTACTTCGAAAGGAAAGTGGTTTTACATATTGAAACATTCTTTACAGAAAAAAGAAGTCTATTTGATATTTTAGCATCCAATGCTTCTCTTTAAGGCAAACTCCTTTCCTGCACACGAGGCACCAAAAATCTTGCTGCTTCTACAGCAACAGGTAAGTCAAATGTACATTTTTTTGCAGTGTACCATATTTTTCGGACCATAAGACGCTCCGACCATAAGACGCACCAGTTTTTAGAGAAGGGAAATGAAGAAAAAAAGATTCTGAAACAAATAGTGTCCTAAAATATTTTATGTGCATTAAAACCCAACATTTCAGTCATAAACACATGTAATCAACCTTGTAAACGTAAACAGCAGCATTTAGAACCATTTTAGAGCTGGGCAAGCACACAGAGACCACACAGAGCCGGGCAAGTAAAAAACCTTTTTTTTTAAAGTATATGTGTAGGCTATATTTGGACCATAAGACACAGGGACTTTTTCCACCCACTTCTGGGGGAAAAAAAGTGTGTCTTATGGTCCAAAAAATACGGTAATTTACCTTGAAATTAACCTACTACTTATATTTAGAAAAAGGGCACAAAACTGTTCAATAATGAACACTACACAATGATTCACTTTCATGGTTAAATGACACATGTAGTCAGTTAATCAGATAGATCACAGATAGTCAACCTTTTCATTTCCCTCGCGAGGCATTACCGAGCACCTGCCATGTGCTGGGCACTCACATGCGGTAGAGATGCAGCCGGAAACAGCAAACATGTAAGAACACAGAGATGGCATCAGATGACGGCAAAGCTAATGAGCAAGTAAAGCAAGGTGGTGAGGAGTGCGGGAGCACAGCCAAGATAAAAAGGGTGCAGTTGTTTTTTAAAATCTGTCTCCAAAGATCTTTGGTTTAAATCGGAGAGAATATGTGAATTAAGATGGAGGCGGACAGAAATGCGATTCACCTCCCTGCCCAATGGGAAAGAATTGCATGCAATACTGGGTGAGACTGAGGGTTCAGAGGTCTCTTTCAGAGCCACATATCAGATGAGTATTTCCTATGTCAAAAAAGGGCTGGATGATTAAGCCTGAGAGAATTAAGTGGTGCTGCTCAGTTTCTTTTCATCATCTTATGATCTCACCAAAAATAATGTCCCTACTTCCACCTCCAATTGAAATACAGTTCTTAAAATAAGAAAGCAGTTCAATGCAAAAACTCAACATTACATTCCACATTTGATAAAGAATATGTACCACATAATATCCACAAATAAATATATAAGTCTGAAACCAATTCTGTCAATAAAGACTGGCGAAATTAGATCAAAGTAAATACTATAAAATTTTGTAAAACATAAAAACAGGATATAGCAAATAAAAAAATCAATAGGTTTCTTTTTAAAATCAGATGCTAGACACAGTGCTAGACTTTCAAATAAATTTTCTCAAGAGTGTTCTGGCAGAGATAAATATTTTTCCATTGATACACATATATGTATTAGAATGTGCTAATTTAAAACCAACTGTTCTTCAGGTATGAAAATAATCATGAAAATAATTCTACTATTCTATTGGACTCACCTAATAAATTGCTAAAGGCTCTTTAAAGTTTTAATTAAGGGGGAATAAAAGGCCCTTCAATCACTAAGTGTCCCTGATGAGGAATGATCACTGCCAACATTTTTAAAATGTGCCTTCTTCTTACTATTATTTTTTTTAATCCTTACCTGAGCATATGTCTACTGATTAAAAATATAAATATATATTTTATTGATTTTCCACAGAGAGGAAGGGAGAGGGATAGAGAGTTAGAAACATCGATGAGAGAGATACATTGACCAGCTGCCTCCTGCACACCCCCCATCGGGGATGTGCCCGCAACCAATGTACATGCCCTTAACCGGAATTGAACCTGGGACCTTTCAGTCTGCAGACCGACGCTCTATCCACTGAGCCAAACTGGTTTCGGCTGGCTGGCTACTGATTTTTAAAGAGATAAGAAGAGACAGAGAAATGCCAGAGGGGGAGGGGGAGGGGAAGGAGTATCGGGGAAGGGGGAGGGGGAGAGAAACGCCCGGACCAGGGATGGAACATACAACCTCGGTATGTGCCCTGAGCAGGAACTGAACCTGCAGCCTTTTTCAGTATACAGGACAGCGCTCCCACTGAGCCACCTGGCCGGGGCTATCCCTTTTAATTTAAAACCCACACCTGCCTCCACTTCTCACCTTAATTCTTTCCTTGAGAAGATCAAAACAAGTTTATCCTCTCCCTGCCAACCTGGATAGGTGGCTTTGAATTCCCTCTCAGGGCTTCTCTGCTCTAGTGAAGTGCCCGTTTCCTTCAAGTATTTCTCATGTGATCACAGCACCGCCTGTTTTGAGGCTGCACGTATCACTGCCTTCACACCTCACCTAGAATCTATCCCCAAAGTGAGCTACTCCATCCCTTCACTTTAAAAATGCTCTTCTACGAATGCCGAAGCTTAACAATTAGTCTCTCAATTAAGCCAATGTCTTCTCCGTCTTCTGCTTGTAGCAATGATTTTCTGACCTTACATGAAGTTCTCAGAAGTCATGCTGAGTCATTTTTAGCATTATTTACCCTTATTTATTTTTAAAGGGATGGGCCCTAACGCCCACAGATACTAGATTTTTAAACAGGTGACACAAAACAGCTAGTTTGTGGAGTGTTTTTATAATAGCAGGTTCATTCAGTCCTGGTCAAGGGACCACGTGAGGAGGCGTTAGAAATGCAGCCTTCCAGCCTCCAGACTACGAATCAAAACCTCCAGGACGGAACCTGGGGACCTGCACCCTACCGAGTCCTCAGGGACGGCGGGGCTTACGTCTGGGCCTAAAGATTCCAATTGGGTTTTTAAAAAGACACTGTGAGCACCTCACCTGTAACCCAGGAAGGAAGCGACTGTCCTTTTCCACCACCAGAAGTTCAGCGACGCCGGCATTGAGGATGGACCTTGTGATTCCGCCTGGCCCAGGGCCCACTTCGTACACATATGCGTCTGTCAGATTGCCAGCTTTCCTTACAATCTTATCTGGAGAAAAGAAACGTTCAGTTATCTCGAGTATCTTGGCAAATTTTGGTGTATGGCATTAAAAAAAAATGCAAATTTTTATCAGTCATTACCTAATCAACTAATTTACTAATCCTTTATATACAATTATTAATCCAGTTATTTAACTCTCAACCTCAACCAACACATAGTGGCCATTCATCATTCTATCACATCACTGTTGAAAAGTACCAGACCTTTAACAAAAAATAGGATTGCCGTGACAAATGTCTACAGCCTAAATTGGCCTAACATTGTATTTTATGTTCTTCCTCCAAACCATCATTTCCTAAGAAGGGGCTGATTAAGCATACACTCCTTTTTAACACTTGTTGAGCATCAAACATCTGAATGGACAAGACTAGTTTCACACTGAGAATTTTCCACGTTGCTCTTTTAAAATGCAGAGGCAAAAAGTGCTGGCAGTCTCCATTTTTACCTCTCTATCTCTGGCTGCTGGACCATATGGCACTAGCAACAAGTTTATAGTTCATAAGACTTGCAAAAATTGGGGTTCTTGGCTGTTTTCAGTTAGAAGTTAAATTTAGCAATGGAGGTTTTTAAGCTTTGCAAACATGCAAGTTGATATGGAAAAGTTAAAACTGTAAAATATTCATCGACTTCTTTAAGTTAGCAGACCTTAAGAAATCTTGGAAAAGCAGATTATGGAAGATGCAATACAACCAATCGTCACTATGAAACATACAACCGGCTGGCCTTCCTGACCGAGCTATTAGAACCCAAGCCAGTGGGCCTCCTGGCACAGTGGCAATGCAGTCCCGGAAACAACCAGCCCTCTGGGCAGTGCTCCCTGACACCGTCTAGTCCCCTTTCTGCTCCTGTGACTGAGAACTGACCTCTGCAGGTTTACAGCGAGAAAGCCCCTCATCCCTCCAAAAATAGCTGTCTGTTCCAGGTGCAGGAAGGCCTGGCACCGCCGGGCATCTGTTTGGCACAGGTGCTGCCCAGGCTTTCTCACGACAAATCCTCATGACAGGCTCACTATCCCCCGTCCACTCCTCTGACTTGTCATCCCTCCCGTTTTATGTGAACGAGGTCGTCCAGAAAGCAAGTGGGAGAGCAGGGGCTCCCGCTCCGGTGTAAATTCCAAAGCTGATCCTTAAATTCCAAAGCTGATCGTTGCCTGGGTGCGGACCAGTGTCTCTCAGAGGGAAGAGGCGGTACATTAAGCACAGGCGTGATGGAGGGGATTAATATTCTCACTTTTAAAAGTGGAGAGCGGCAGAAACCGGTTTGGCTCAGTGGATAGAGCGTCGGTCTGCGGACTGAAAGGTCCCTGGTTTGATTCCGATCAAGGGCATGTGCCTTGGTTGAGGGCACATCCCCGGAAGGGGGTGTGCAAGAGGCAGCTGGTCGATGTTTCTCTCTCATCGACGTTTCTAGCTCTCTCTCTCTCTCTCTCCCGTCCTTTCTGTAAAAAATCAATAAAATATATTAAAATAAATAAATAAATAAAAGTGGAGAGCGGTAGCAGGCAGGCCAGTGCCTTCTTCACGTACAAATGCCATCTCAGAGGCACAGGCAGTTCGCTAAGCCTGGGTTCAGTCTTCTCTGCTCCCACCGAGCTTCTCACCTCAGAGAAGTACCTTCATGTCCCTTCCTTTTGGTCCCCACTGAAGAGAGAAGAGTATCTAGATTAGGGAATTCACTCCCCGGGGAGAATCAAAGGCTCAAGGAGAAAGTACAAATGAAGAAATCTTCAAAAAAAATATAAAGACCTGCCGGGACCGGTTTGGCTCAGTGGATAGAGCGTCGGCCTGCGGACTGAAAGGTCCCGGGTTCGATTCCGGGCAAGGGCATGTACCTTGGTTGCGGGCACATCTCCAGGAGGTGGTGTGCAAGAGGCAGCTGGTCGATGTTTCTCTCTCATCCTTGTTTCTAACTATCTATCACAACTCGCGAGCGCTCTCTCTTCCTCTCTGTGAAAAATCAATAAAATATATTTTTAAAAAAATATATATAAAGACCTATATTTTCAGTCCTGAGAAGGGTGCTTTATACCTAGAACATAGCTCACGACTGGCGGAAAAGGCTGATTCTGGTTACCACCAGAACCAAATAACTGTAGGGGTGTGTTTTGTAGGACCGTCCCGCAATCCACGCATTAAAAAACGGAAGCAGAATGAAGCTGTTTCACCCCAAGTCCTCTTGCTCCCGACAGAATAAAGGCTCCAAGTCCAAGAAATAAAACTTCTTCGTTGTGCTTTGTGGACGGTACTTAACTGAACTGACAGTGACCTTGTTGGGTGTGATGGACTGATTTTCTCAGCTCCTGAGGCCCTGGGGGCCAAAGAGGACATCAAAACCTCAAAAACGGAGTGTGCTCCCGCAGTGAGATCAACCGGCACATCTGTCCTGTGTTCCTGCAGCCTCGTCCTGGGGAGCACCCCGAGGAAACAGGGGTGAAAGCAATGCACCCATTTGCAAAGCTCATCCACCTGTGCGCTTCGCACTGGGGACCTGCACTGCGCGGCGGGAGGGGAACGTCCACTCGCTAACCCTGAGCCCCCCGCGGGCAGGCCCGGCCCTTCTCACTCCGGCACCTGCAGGGCTTGTTCCACACGCATTTGCCGGAGGAGAGCTGGCGCCCTCAGGGCTTCTCAGGCGCCACAAGGGAATGTTTGACACTGCTGCGACAGGGTACGGATAACCCCAACCCTGCACAAACCTAAATCGGGGTACCTTCGGGCGGAAAGCAAACCTAGCCAGCACGTGCAGCCCCATTTCAGTGTCACACACCCGCCTTCCCCGGCACCGCCCCTCCTTCCGTCCCTCCCCCAGCACCGCCCTGCTGTACGGTGACCAGATCGTCCCGCTTTGGGCGGGACAGTCCCGATTCCTAACAATCTTTCCCATCTAATCGGGACTTTTTTTAAAAAACGCCGAGGGACGCGGGAAAAATTGTTAGAAATCGGGACTGTCCGGCCCAAAGCGGGACGATCTGGTCACCTTAGCCCTGCACACGCCCGAGCGCAGGGGTCCGAGCGGCCACCACGTCCCTCGCGTCTGCGGGGCGCGGCGAGCGGAGGACGGGCCTGGCTGGGGCCGCGCACGCCGGGGCCGGACCCGGACCCGGACCCTGACCCTGACCCTGACCCTGACCCTGGACCCCGCCCGCAGGAGGCGCGAGCCCCGCGCCCCGCGCCCCCCTCGGCGGGGCCGCCATCCACCTGTCAGCCTCAAGTCCAGGAGGAAATTCTGCGAGAGCTGCTTCGCCGCCTGCAGTTTGAACAACTTAATGATTTCCCGAATCGTGGGCAGCGGCGGGAGGCGGAACGTGCCGAGCGCCCTGGAGGCCGCCATGAGCCTCGGGGGACAGACCCAGCCGCACGCGGACCTGCCTCCGCGGCTCGGAGCGCGCTCGGCGGAGGGAGGCGGAGCCTGGAGGGCTAGGGCCCGCCTCCGGGCTCCCCTCATTGGTCGGCAGTCCCCGGCCGGAACTTGAGCGCGGACCGGAAATCCGGGCGCTCTCGGCGCGCAGGCGCAGATCCGGCGAGAGGCGGCGCAGGTAGGGGTCCGCCTTTCCTCCGCCTCTCCCGGGTGGGCGGGGCGTGGGCGGGGACACGGAGGGACCCGAGGTCGCGGGGAACCCTGCAAGCAGCCTGGGGTGACTGGACGTTCATAATAGTTGCACGCTGATGCTTAGATATAAAACTACCGGTTGCTAACAACTCTCTAGCCCAGTGGTCGGCAAACTCATTAGTCCACAGAGCCAAATGTCGTCAGTACGATTGAAATCTCTTTGGAGAGCCACATGTTTTAAAACTTAAACTTCTTCTAACGCCACTTCTTCAAAATAGACTCGCCCAGGCCGTGGTATTGTGTGGAAGAGCCACACTCAAGGGGCCAAAGAGCCGCATGTGGCTCGAGAGCCGCAGTTTGCCGACCATGGCTCTAGCTGGTTTGGCTCGCTGGGTGGAGTGTGGGCCTGCGGACTGAAGGGGCCCGACTTGGATTCTGGTCCAGGGCCCATGCCCAAGTTGTGGACTTGTAGGGGGGCGTGTAGGAGGTAGCGGATGGATGATTCTCATCATTGACGTTTATATCTCTCTACCCCCCACCCTTCCTTCATCTTTGAAGTCAATAAAAAATATGGTTAGATGTGTATGGGACCCGGAGGAGGGCCCTAGCCCTCCAGGCTCCGCCTCCCTCCGCAGGGCGGATGGCAGGTTTCTAACTTCTCTGAGCCTTAGTTTTTTCGCCTGTTAAGTGGACAGAATGCCTGCCTTAAAATGGTGAGCACTAAACGAAAGAGGTTGCTGGGTGGGTGAATTCAGAACCTAGTGCAATGCGTGGCATATGGTAAACCTGCAACCCAGGGCAGCTGTGGCTACTATAATCACCTAGCAGGTGAATGCGCCTAGGGGGTTTAATTTTAAACTGTCAGCACGGTTTGTTAGTGAGAGGGTGCGAAGTAGAATCAGCTCTTCTGCCCCTTTAACATGTACACATCAGCGAGAAAAACTTCCTTGTTCAGTACATGAGGCTTTAGGAAGTGTTTTTGTGTATATTGGATATTTGTTCCTGAACTTTTCACTGACAGTATTGTGAAATCAACAGAATAAGAATTACTAGCCTGAGTTTAGAGCAGAGGAAACAAAAACTCGGGTCATATAACTTAATGAAATTTACAAAGCCAGAAAATTTGTGGAACCCAGATCCAATTTAAGCTTCCCGACTTGCAGGATGGCTGCTCTTGCTATTAATCTGCTTTGCATTGAGTATTATTGCCTTGTTTACTTTCCCCCAGTTTTCTTATTGGGGGAAAAGCATATTTTCTTTCTTTTTTTTTTTTTAAAGCATATTTTCTTATGCTTCAAGTGTTCAGCCTCTACTCACAGAACAGGAAAGCCAAGGACGACAGGGAAGGAACATAATAATAATAATAGCCAACATTTGTTGAGCTTTTCCCAAAGTCCCAGGCTTCACAGCTGAGAGCTTTACAATTATTACTTCAATAAGTGTTACAAAACAAAGTTTTGCCCTAGGCTGCTGCACAACTAACAAGTGGTGGGCTCAGGATTTGATTCCATACGTTCGTGTCCAGAGCCTGCTTTTTAAGCAGTGCAATCAGTGTGGAGAGGTCATTTGACTTGCTTAGGATGCTACATCCAAGCACAGAAAGGAGGCTCAAATGTGAGTTCTCTCTCTCCATTTTACTAGAGAGAACAACAAAGCAAAGAAATATCAAATCTGTCTGATAGGGTAAATTAGCTTTTCTAATCCTTTTTGCAAATTGCTGCATTGATCACAAGTGAATCTTTTTTTTTTTTTAATTTTACTTCTCAGAGTAGTAAGTTTAAAATAAAGCTAATGGACAACCAAGTAACTATGGGTATGACATGGAAAACCCAGCTACCTCCTGTTATAGTTATCTTAGGAGGAACTGGAGATAATTGACACATCTTCTAGCTTTAGAAAATTGGGATGTGATTCCCATAGAGGTAAGATGGTTTGCCCAAAGTGGCATAGAAATGTAGGCTGAAAGCCAAAACTCTTAATTCAGAGCCTTTATTGGAACCAAAACATACTACACCCGGGAAGGCATTCACTCGCAGTTACAGTCATTGTTTCACGCAGTCCTCACAATAGTCCTGTGAGGATCAGATGCTTATCCTGATTTGACTGTGAAGAAATAGAGGTGAGGGCATTTAACTTGTCCAGGATGCACAGCAAAATGCAGAGAGATTTAACCTGTTTTTCTTTTCTAAGTTCTGATCTCATGGGCCACACACCGCAAGTATTACATTTTTAAAGTTAATTATTTAACCAATATATGATAATTTTATAATGTTATGTAAGTCTATCCAATTTAAATCTGAATAAACTAAATTTACAGTTTTCATGGGATTAACTAAAACACAGTTAAAATAAGTATATGCAAAGCTACAAACCAACACAAATGACACATAATGTTAAGTCACTGCTCTTTATGCTGATTGGTAGGATTCTTTTGTAAAAAATTCAGTACTGTCCATCCAGTGTTGCTCAGTGGTTGAGCTTAGACCCATGCACCAGGAGGTGATGGCTCAATTCCCCATCATGCCTGGGTTTCGGGCTCAATCCCCAGGCTGGGGCATGCAGGAAGCAGTTGATCTATTGTATGATTCCCTCTCATCATTGATGTTTCCATCTCTCTCTCCCTCTCCCTTCCTCTCTGGAAAAAAAAAAAAAGTCCAGTGCCAATGTGCCATGTAATGATTGAATTTTCTTATCAGTTTTCTGGATCCAAACTAACACCAAATCTTTGTGCAGAATGTTAGCCATTGTCTCTTGCCTTTCTCTTAAAGGAACATAGAAGCTACTTAGAAGTCTGCTTGGGTCTATTTTCATTAGCATGGAAACAAAGTGGAATTACTTGGCACAGATGCCATCCATAATACACAGCTTGCATAGCAATAATCAGGAGAAAGTTCAGGTGGCTCAGAATGTGCCCACACAAACTCTTTAAAGATTAACACCAGCGTAAAAAACAAACAAAAAATTTATAAAGAACAAAACCACATTTCCATGGAGAATTTGTGGATTCCCAAGAACTTGTCCCCAGATCTCAATATGAGAATTATTGTCTTATTCCACGCCATCTTAAATGCTCAACATTTGTGGGGTTATGACCTATAGTGACAAAGCAGTTTCTCACGTTACTTCACTTAATTCTCATTTGAACCCCTAATGTAGGTTTACAGAGATACTCAGAGGGCACTGCTACAGGCCAGTGAGGGCGCAGTTGAGTCTCAAACACAGGTCTTCTGACGCTGTTGTACCTTGGGTATGTGTTAGATAATTGTTGAACTGAATAATAATAATAAAAAATCCATCCTAGGAGAATCTTCCAAGTTTTTACAGTTCTTGAGATCTAATTTTTATCATCATAAATATCTGATTCTCAGTCTTTTCATTTTCAGAAAATTACGCATTACTCCCTACAAAGCGCATGGAATCAGCAGGGGGTGTGCTAATAGTGTATTTCACATATTAATGCAAATAGTTTTATCCCAGAAAAGAGAAGTGTGCCGTTTCATCAGTTTTGAAGCTTTGAAGTATCTGCTTCATCTCAAGATAGATTTTAATATGCTAAAATATTGTAATTAATTCAGAAACGACTAGCTCCACCTATCAGTGAAGATGAAGAATTACAAGTGATCCTAAGTGATACCAAGGTAGAATGCACAAATTCTAATTTGCACAAATCCCAGAATGGTGATCTAGGAAAATTACTTATTATTATTTTAGCATTTATTTTAATGTAAATGAATATGTCACTTCATTTGGTATAAGTAGTTTAGCGCCTACTTATAGAGAAAGTGCTACTTCTAAAAGATTATCATTTCAGTTCCCTGAAAAGAGGCGGGGAAGCCACAAAGAGCAATATTTTCCTGCCACAAGGGAATTTCCGGAGAAAATTAAATGTGGCTTAGAATTGCCAAATTGAACTTTACAAAATGACTATTATGTAAAGTGCCCTTTTCTGATAGTATTGTATAATTCTGCATAATAGGACTCCGTGCTCCAGAGAAATATTAAGAGCTGCATTTTACACATATTGAGTCCTTGTTAATGGCTGTTTGATGCCCATTGCTCACAGAGGAGTGACCTACCTGGTGGGAAGGAGAAAGTGCAGGGTAATTCCGAGCAGACAGACCAAACACTTTCTCTGTGGGGACAGAAGCCAAGCCATTTATGGCAACCAGCACAGGTGAATTGCCTGAGGGGACCATGTGACAGTTATAACTGTTCTTTAAATCTAGTGTGTATCACTGGCCCAGGCAGTATTGGAAAGCCTCCTGATTGTCCCCGAAGAAGATGGTGAATTATTGCCAGGACCCTAATGTGGTGATGAGGACAGGCAGCCCTTTCTGCTCAGGATAAGTCAACTTGGGTTTTTCCTCCGCAACAAAGCAAATTGTTTGTGAGTGGAGAAAAGGTCAGCACCTTCAAAGGGCATTGTAAAAGTAAATTAGCCCTTTTATGCTAAGAGTTTATTAGTGTGCCTCAACATTTAATTGAAGAAAGGTTAAGAATAAATAATACTATGAATAGGAACACACTTGTGGTGGCTTTTCCATGCGTTTACAACTATTCTGTGAGCGGGGAGGCTCTGGGTTCAACCATTTGGGTCTCCTTGGACATCTTGGTGACATCCCCCCACCCTGCCCTAGCAAAAGGATCGTGGGTGGACTACTACATAAGACCACACCTATCCCTTCTTTCTCTGGCCTAGGGCCCCTGTAGTTGCTCCTCTCTACCCCAATCCCAGGTGGCTCCTGTGTGCACAGTTTTCCAGACAAGCCAGTGAGTTGATGTGAATACATAGCAACTGGCTACCTATTTGTCCAACTGAGAAGGGGCAGGAGGATGGGGCTGCTT